GTTTTGGGATGACGAATAAGTTTCGGTATCTTGAGCATTGTTTGGGCTAGAAGCAGCGATGTGACTGCTTGTGTTGCCAAGATGCAACAAGCTATGATGTTTGCTTCCACAAACTCTGCAAGCGCTGGAGCCGCAGACTCTCAGCTGATGTCCCCTTTGCAGGCAGTTTAGGCACAGCGCAAGCCGCTTGGCTTCGTGAAGGCGCAGCAAGGGCGATAAATTTGCGAATTGCAAACATTTATAAATAGAGTGGCCTGCGACTTCACAAAACACACAAGCACTCGTTCCATTCCTAGTCACTACAAACGTTCTTCTACTACTGTTGTTCTGGCCCACCTGGGAGCTAGGCGTGTACATTGCCGTAGCGTGATCCGCATTTTCCAGCCTTTGGCAACGCCTCTCTATGAAGGTTGTAAACCGCTCGCATGATGGTATGACGTCCAACGGCGCATCATCCTCCCAGCTAGCCTGCGTAACGCTATCTAGTTTTTGCAGCAACGTATGTACTATGACGCAACCGGCGATCTGTTCCACACTGCCCATCGATTTTAAAGCACGTAGATGAGAGTTGAGCTTATCTGAAAATTCGCGCAGCTGTGCAGTCGCGCCCTTGTCCACCTTTCTCAAACCCAAAATTTCAGAGATGTGTGCCTGAAAAATAAGACGCTTGTTATTAAAACGCTTATCAAGCAGTTCTAAAGCGGCAGCATAATTTGCGTTTGAAATTTCCAATGAGCGAATTGTATCCAGCGCTGTTCCTTTAAGGCATGACCGTAGATGCTGGAGTTTTTCAATGTTGGTCAAATACGGATCCTTGTCAATGACCGTGGTGAACAGGTTCGAGAAATCGGCCCATTCTGTGTAGCCTCCACTAAACTCCGGCAATTTAAGTTGAGGCAATCGAGAGTGGTTTGGAACAACAAAGGTAGAACGCGAGTCATCGGCTGCGGCTGAATTGAAGGTGGAACAATGCGGAATCTGCTGAACCTTGCTTCGATTTCCGCGCTCGCGTTGAAGGGACAGCCGTAGCTGCCTAATAGTTGACTCAAAACTTGTCTGAAGATCCTCATCAACGCTGGCATGATCCACCTCCAACAAACCATCACAGACTATCTCAAATTTCGCCTGCAAGTCAGATGCCATGCTTATGTAATCTTGCAGCTCGTAGTCATCAACATCGCGAAGTCGAGCGGGATCAAGTTCCGAGGACAATCTATTGAGTCGATCAGTTAAATTCTTGATCTTTATTTTAAAAACAGCAGCCTGGGTTCCAACCGCCACTTGACTAGCTGATGTCGCCTCATCATTTCCATTTGCACTTGCACCTTCATCAAACATTATGAATGTAGCGCACAACAAGGTTCACACAGCCGAACTACAATACAAGTCTGATCGCGCAAGTGTTCGTTCGAGCGAGATAGCGTATAGCGGGTTATAGCGCGCAACGATTAGCGGGGATTTGCTACGGCGTTTATGTATAACAACCAACTGTATGCAGATGCGCAAGCAAACGGCTCACCACACAGCTTTGCCCGAACTGATAACTGTCCGTTGACACGACAAGAACGAAGTACAAGAAAAAATAGAAAAAATGAAAGAAAGAAAAATCACGTCGGGGTCACCAAAATGTGTAGTTGCAAGCTTTTTTGCAACCAATTAATTCTAACTGCTTGTGCAGCGAAATTCAAACACTTAGATTAGTTTTCAAATGGATTTATTTGCCGCGCAGGGCACTTATTAGAATTTATAAGTTTTAAATTGTTGCTTGGCAGCCAACTCGAATTAGTTGTGCCTAGGTTGCGATCAAAACGAAAGACTGACTGGTTATGACAATATGTAAAGCGAATCGAAACGAAACTCCAATAAGACGCTCGCCGGTTAGAGCGAAGGGCAGCAATGCAAGCAAAGCAATTCAGAAGGAGAGTGGACAGCAGCTTACAAAGAGCGCGCAAAAAAAACTATTTGCTCTTAGGCTGTAATTATGATTGTTATTTTCTGCTGTTGGATGATGTCCGCAGCCGTCGGTGTTATCTCTGCTGTTACTTGACCAAACATTGTTTATGGGCGGAATATCTCAAGTGGGTCACTTGAGGCCCGCGCCTGTGATGAATATGTTTTCGTTTTAGCTGTGTAATGAAACATGTGTTAAATAACTATAGTTTAGTTCTTCACGGCAAGAAGTTATTGGCAGTTTGCATTTGTCTACATTTTATGTAGTAAGAATTATGCTTAAACAATTATTAGCTTATTAACATAATACTTCAACTTCTTGTATTATCCCATGAACTTATAAATTTTTTGCAGCGATAAATTCTATTGCAATTAAATTTGAATATCTCTACTGGATAGCTCTATTGAATTAAAAGATTTGGTGACGATAAGTATTGCTCCTGTCACATAAATGCATTGATATGATTTCAACTTTCTCATTTAATGTGTTTCCTGCACTTCCTGCTCCTAATTGAATTAGTTTTTTATATGGTCAACAAATTAATAATTAACATTTTTGTGTTGATCGTTTTATCAATAGCGGCGCTTTTCCGCAAACGAAAATGAAAAACTGGTCAAGTTTCGGTCGTTAGAAAAAGTGACATTTGCGATGTGGCGAAAACTAGTCGGTTTAACCACTTAGTTGGACACCGCCTAGAGAGTGAAATCTTTTGAGCGGGAAAAGTGCTCGGAAACATGTGCTGCAACTTGTGTCCAAGAGCGATTTATCAGCTAGCATCTCGCAGCGACGACAACGACAACGTCATCATTATCATTATCATCAGCCGCATCATCATTTACAAAGGCAGAGCGCCAGTCTTTTGTCATTGGTATTGGTGTAGGGGGCTTAGGGGTAGAGAGTTAGGGGCATTCATGATAAATGAAATTTTCTGCACTAAATGTTGCTTTTACTTAAGACCAAAAACTTTTGTTGTGTTGCCACTGGATGTCTGTGTGTTTGTGTGGATTATGGGGGGCGGCGTTTATTATTATTGTAATTTCTTGTCATAGGCATTTGGCCACAACACGCACGTCTCTCTCGCTCTGGGCCATTTGGCACACAACCAAAACAACAACAACAACAACAATGAAAACACACCACATAATACAACATATGTGATTGATTGTAATTGAGGTTGGTAAAAGTTGTTGTGTCAATGTCAGAGCCGGGGTGCTAAATAAAAAAGAATCTGAGTAAAAAATTGGTCTTTAACTTTGGGGGCTGTCACTTGTGAAAAACCAAGGAAGCGGCAAATTTTCTATAATTTTCATACAAGCTTCGAATGATGCAGCACATTGTGAAATTGTTCAGAATGAGAATTCAATGTTAGCCATTTGTCATTTAAGTTATACAGATTAAAAGTGGAGTTCAATTGTTGAATTTGATAAATTGACAATTGAGAGAGACGCCTGGAAGAGTACCTATAAGTATTATACTTAGAAGTACTTATCTAAGTTTTGCTTATAAACACCGTTTTTAAGCAAAAAAGTACTCTAATAATAATTCCCCGATGCAAAAAGCTCACGCAGCAAACAATTTCTAAGGAAATGGCCAGAGTTTTATTTTGGGTTTAGTAAAAATTAAAAAAACAGAACAAAATCTCTAAACAAGCAGTCATAACATATTCTGTATGCCATTATTTTTGAGCTTTTTTAATAAAAATTTAATCCAGTTACTCAAGTCTTGCTTTTTTCAAGTTTCAAGAGCTTGCATGGAACATAATAATAAATTAAAACTCTTTCGCAAACAGCTTTTTGTCTAATTAACATAGAAACCTTCCCGAAAATGACCGTCAAATCCCACATTAACTCTAGACAACTTCAAGTTAAGGCCAAAAAAAGAAAGATGAATAAAAATAAACTTTTTAGTTGCCAGAAATTTCACTTGCGAAAGTTGTGCGCCACAATTAAAGTGGAAAAGTTAAGAGCGAAGAGCTGACCAGGTTTTTTTTTTTCATTTGTGTTTCTATAAAAGTGTATCTAATTTTTTTTTTGGTGCGGAGCCATGGCGTAATGCTCAAAAACTCAGAAGCCCGAAAGGCACATTAACACGTTTCAAATGACTTAAATACGTTGCCAAATTATGGCAAGAATAATAAAACAAAAACTTGGGAAAGTTGGCATATCTGGAAATATGTCAGAGTGTCAACAGCACAAAATAATGAACGAAATAATCGTAAGCAACCTAATCATAATGATAATAAAATGTAACAGAAGAAGAAGAAGAAGAAGACAGCAGCCCCAACTCGATTGTTGTTGTAATATTATCTGGCTTTGTATCTGCCACTACTCGCCATGATTGCCCAAGCGAGCAAATGAAGGGGTTAAGACTCCCAACTCCCCGCTACAGTCAAAACTCTGTCTGCGAGTTTTGGCCTTATGCAATTGTCATTATTGTCTGCGGGCGTTGTTGCTGCTTTTGCTTTATGAATATTAATATACATACATATATATATATATGTATATGTATATAGTATGTATTTTGTTATTGTCGCCCCGTTTAATGCGCAAGCAGCGCGTATCTTCAAGATGATTTTTTCAAGTGTTGTGTTTTTTGTTCGCTGTTGTTGAAAATTTCACTGCTTCTCTTGAAATAAAGTTGTTTCAGTTTGTTTCATCTTTGTTTTCCAATTAAATGCGCCAAAAGCGTAAATTTAATTAATTTAATTGTTGCAGCAAAAGAAATGCTGTAAAAATATTTCAACTTGGCCACATTTTAAGGCTGAATTTGTGCAAGTTTCAGCCAAGTTTATTTCAGTTATTTTTAAAGCATTTTAAACTTGTGCTAGACCTTGTGCTGTGCATAATAATTAAGGAAAATAAAGTTGTTTTTGTTTATGCATTTGTTGAACATATTTCAGTTGTTTTATTTTATGATGTATTTATTTTGTTTCTTAGTTTATGCGTACTGCAAGGATTTCCTTAAAATGTAATAATGATTATAATATATTTGTTTTAATGTGTTTGCTTAAATTTAAATTGATTTATTTGCTTAACATTTTTCTTTGCAGGCGCAATTGTTTATTAATGAACTTTGCTTGAATACTTCATAATCTGTTGGTAAGTGGTTTATATTTTCTTTTCAATTTTTATCAATGTCTTTTTGGAAAAATTAAGTCTTATGTTCTTGTATCGCTTGACAACTCTTCATTCAGGAATAACAAAATAACTGTAAAGCGTTGATCTTCATGGTTAATTATTAAAATAATTAATTTAAATAGAAGAACTATCATTCTCATTATCATCAGATTCCATTTATTTATCTGATCTTGCTTTTTTGTTTGCTTTATTCATTTTGTGCAAGATTTATAAGGATAAATCTTGCTGAATGGTTGCTACACTGTTAAGGGTTAGCAATAATTGTTCACTAAGAACAAAACCTAAACTCGTATAACAGCATACAGCAGTTGTTTCCATAGGAACTCGTACAATTAACAGACGCCTACGACAAACTATGACTAATTGATGATGCTCAGCTGTGCAAACAGTTAGATGAAATAAAATAGAAAAAGAAAAAACAGCCAGCAGAAAGAACTCCTCACTTGAGCGAAAGTATTTCATATGCCATAAATTTCCATAAAGCGTTCAGCTTTAACGGGTACGATTACTCATACGCTGGGGTTTCGCCGCTGGCGATCAAGAGAGACAAGTGAATCATCTATGAATTAAATCCGAATGTGATGTGCACTGTAATGGCAGCGCTCCGGAGCGGCAAATGACGCAAATTCATTCAGCAAATTTTTTGTTATTAACCAAAAGCTTTTATAAATTCATATATATTATATTTTTTTTTTGTCAAAAATTTTGGCAAATGATTGCATTTTTAAATACGGCACGCAGCCAGAAAATGTACGTGATTAGTATGCAAATTTGTTTTAGCGCGAAAAGTGTATCTGATGGATGCCCAAACGCGAACATTGTAGCTATTGGATGCAAATTTCGCTATCATGACATTGGTCGCATGTTGTGCAGAGTGTTTTTCGTGTTTAAACATAAAAATTAAAATGCCTGCGGTTTGTATTTATGGTATTTTCATTTTTTATGTATTTTTTTTTTAATGTTTTGTTGCGGTCTCGCTTGGCAGACGGGTGTATACATTTTTTTGTTAATACGGCCAATCGTAAAGTAGATAACTAGACTGACTGACCAAAGAGGCAAGAAGAAAGAGTGTGCATTTATTAAAACATATTCATTTTCGAATCAGTTGTCATTGTTTGTTCATTTTTTTTTTATAGTTGTCTGATGCCTGCCGGCCATAATAATCGTTGGCTTCGCATTATGCAACATTTGGGACAGAGTTTTATTGAATTAAATTTTGATTAATGTTTCCAGTAAGGAAACTAGTTTAAGTCGTGAGCGTATATTATAACTTAATTTGTTGAGTGGTTTTATATGATGAAATATAGTTTTTTTTTATTTTTATTTTTGGCATAGTCAATTCTCTGTTTTTTCTCTTTTATTCATACTTATCTAATCGTCTGGTTATTGATGAACAACTTCTAACGGAACTAGTATTCATTTACAACTTACTAGTTCTTACAACAGAAAATTATCTTCACTGTATTACAAGGTTTCTTTATATTATTGTTAAAATTTGCAAATTGGAATTAGTCTTATATTAAGATTTATTATCCTTAAGAAGCCCAATAGCTAGCTTGTTGTACCAGCAGCTGAATCACCAAAAGGTACTGCAAATGTTACGTGTTCTTCAAGTATTTTTTCAACATCGCCATTTTGATCATATGCAATTGCTCTAATGCTGACTTGCAAAAGTTTTCTGTGACACGCTCCGAACTAGTTTCTAAAAGTAGTTCCACAATATTAGCAACAAACTGTCTCGCCAAGAGCCACATATCATGTTTGGTACGGTTCCAAAAGTCCGAGTACTCTGTATATCCAATTAGTTGCTTTCACATTTCATTTCAAAAGTTTACAGCCAACTGTCAACACTTCTTGTGCCGCTTTTGCCCGCACTCAATTGCCATTTCAATGGGCCACTAAAAGTGTCATTCTTCATTTAAGAGCGATATCATTTCTATGCTAGCCTCTCAGTACTTGCGAAATTATTGGGTAACAATTTCATTTTGTCATATTTTTGGGTAGAGCTCCAAAATGTTGGAAACGCAACTAAAATGTGACATTTGACATTTTAAGTTAAGTGCTTGCTGCAATCGCTCAAAGGCGAAAACCATTTAAAAGTTTTGTCATTGAGTGGAAAATCAAGAGAACACAGCGTCAATTTGATGATGTTATGAAAGTGAAGACTTTCAGATTTTCCAGCTAATTTAGCAGCTGTGCGTCGCAATGGAAAGTTAGGGCGACACAAAAAAGCAAGTGAGAGTTCTCTAGTCGAGAGTGCCTGACTAGAAGATACTCTGCAAAGAGCTTAAGAAAAACATGAAGGGGTGCAATTCTTTTTTTTTTATTTTGCCACACAATATTAAAACTCTCAATAGGGATATTTGTTATTATTTAATTTCCGCTCGATTACAATGTTTCAGCAAGCAAATGTGTTATTCTAGTGTACATTCTATATTTTAGTGGTTGCAGGGTATACATAAAAAGCTGGCATTGGCTACACAGTGAAGCTGCCAATGCGTGAATGCGCCCCAGAGCAATTTAAGTCTATTGTTCTTTTTGGCCCATTAAAAGTGGCCCCAGCTACAGCGAGTGCCCCCTGCCCTGCCCCTGGCGAACAAGTCGCACTAATGAGCGTCATGGCATGCATAATGCATGGTCGCCCGGCACCACCACAGCCACCCACTCGACAGTAACATAATAGTGGTTGTCAAGTGCAGCGCGTCGTCATCGTCGCATGTGTAAGAGATACAAAGATACTAAGATACTTCCTTGTCCGAGAGCTCTTTGGGCCACAGTCGAGTGCGCACACGAAACTTAATGACAATATCAAATTACACACAGACGCACTGGCAGGCAGTCGGACATTCACGACAATTTGCATGACACACTTAGCCAGGCCAACTGCCAGCTGTGGGAGTGGCAATGCTTAAATCCTCAGCTGTCCGCAAGTTGAACTTACATTTAAAGCCCCTGTCGACTGCCCGTTGGCAGTTTGTCAATGACTTGTTAGCAATGCGAGGCAGTGTCCACACAAATTAATGCAATTTTCACTGACAATTTCTAAAAGCCACAACGAGACTGAAAATGAAAGTAATTTGCAAAAAGCCACGCAGCGTCTTCTTCTTACTCAAACACAAAGATCGTGAGGCCATAAACAAACCTCAATGCAACTCGCCAAGAGAGAAACATGTGAAAGTCGATGTTCGCTCGACCCGCTGCTGATGCTTTGGCATTTAACGGAGGGGGGCACAATCGAAAGTGTGGAGTTGTCTAATGATATTTTCTAAGTTAGGCACAAATTTAGACTTGACTTTTGCGGTAATACAGGTAGCTGTTTCCATGCAGAAGAAAATAAATTAGGTACGTATATATCTTTTGATTCTAAAAAAAATTATTTTCAAATATATATAATTTCTTAAAACAGATTTACTCATACCAAAAAGTTTTATATTTTTGGGGCTTAAGATTTGAAGAAACTCTTGTGGTTTCTTTAAATAGTTTTTGCTTCTCTGCCCCCTCCCCCCACTCCCACATAGGTTTTAACTGTCCTACAATTATCATTTTCCTACCATATTTCCATTTCAAATTTCGCTCGCTTTGATCTATTATAGTTTTGTAATTATCTTCGCTCTCATTTCCTACACTTGGCACTTATCCATGGTCTTTCCTTTCTCTTTTGCTCCATGCTGCTTAATTGATTAACTCCCACACTCTAAACTTAAGTCTCACACCAATTGTATATTTTATGTTTTGTCTTCCTCATTCTGGGCACAGTGCATCTTTCATGGGGTCTTCGCATGCCTTGTAAATAACTTCCTGCATACTTAGCTCAACCAATTAATCAAATAATCAAAAACAAAAAAAAAAAAAAAGAAACTGTAAAAGGTATTCACGCGATACCTTTCCAGGCGACTCACATGGAAACCCATCGATAGCAGCTGAAGTGCTTCCTCAAAATTACTCATCGCGATTGGTGCGATAAGAAGTATTATTAACTTAAAAGCAGTGCAAATAAAGTCAGCTTTTAATATAAAATATGCAATATATAGAAGAAGATATATATAAATATTGTTTTATATACATATATATGTAAATATAGAGAATGCAACTTACTGACGTCAGTGAGAGGCAAAAAGCGACTTACCTAGAAAGAAAGAAATTATAATATGATTAATTAACGCTGAGTCAAGTAGTATTCAAATATTATAAACAAATAAGTATTACTATTTGGAGTGCTTTGTATGTACTATATATAAATAAGGCCATGTGCACCAAGCATTGTAAATTTATTGATCTTAAAAATGACCAGAGCCAGCACCCACGTCATATAGGAAAATATAGATATGAATGTATATACATATATGCACATATATTCTCACAGTTGGACATATAATTAAGTGCGAACAAAATGGCAAAAGATAAAGGCGCCTATGGATCTTATATGTAGTAAGTATATTATAAATAGAGGCCAGCGAACTTTGAAGGTCTTAATTGGTTGCAGCATTTCCGTTAAGCGGGCGTGTGCACTGTAAAGGGTTGCCAGATCAATGCACTGTCTGGGTTCATTTGAAGTTGGCTGCGATATGTAAGCTGTCATTAGCATTATCATAAAATTATTTGTTGATTATACAGCCAAGCGACTTTCATCTTTAGCCAGTTGTCAGTATTGGTTTTGATGTCCGTGTGATCTTTTCTACTCATTGCTCGTTGCCTGCAACACATTGACCCTGACTGAGTGATGGGGTCGTAGCTGAGCACAGAGCGTGGCATTGTCTGGGCTTATGGCGTCTGTAAATTGTCAGCTAATTGCATTCGATATGAAGTTGTGGGTCATATTGATGTCTCGCTTGAAAGGCGGAAGTTGATGGCCTATCTATAGCTCTCATATAAATTCAAAGCTTCAACCCACGCTGTGTCAAAAACTAACACCAAAAACTAAAAGCAAGTAATACCTATTGACAGCGCTACATTTAAATTGT